ATATCACTCTCTTCGTCTTCATCATAATAACCATGCTCAATATCACCACCATCATCATGTATATTATCATCACCTAGATCAAGTGATTCGTCAGATTTATGACCGTGACAATGTGAAAGTTGATGAATTCTAATGGTTTCCATGATAATGTTGCTAATGGTTCCAACGTCACCCTTAGCACTCATAAGATCACGGAGCTCAAATAGGCATTCATCAAACTTGGGATCACTAGGTTCCATCTTATGAAAAGCAATGGACTTTTGAAGAATTTCATTTAGATTTTTTAAAGAGTAATTTGGAAAGCGTTCCTCAAGATATTTCCATATGGTGTATGCGCATTCAAAGGTAGGTAAGCAAACAAGCACATTTCTAGGTAAGCCTCTAATGATAAGATCAACCATTCCAATATTGCGAACCATGTCAAAATACTCATCGGGGGTAGGATGCAAAGGATCAATAGGAGGCACATAAGGACTAAGAATATACTTTCTCAAATTATATTCATTGAAGATCTCAAGCATTTCATTTTTTCATGAACCATAAAACTCCTCATCAAGAATAGGCACTTTACGTCTAATACTCCCAAACGTAGACTCATTCTTCTTCCTCCAATGGTGATTAAACCAAAAAAATGGAGACCAATGCTCTGATACCAATTGTAAGAGTCGATAAGAGGGGTCTAAGGGGGAGGGTGATTAGACCCTTAACAAGTAAAAGTGGCATCTTTTAGTTTCTTCAAGTTAAGGTTGAGTTTAGCACATATTAATGGGCACACAATACATTTTACACAAGCATAGAAATAGTATGAGCAGCGAAAGAGTAAATCATGCAACTGCAAGAATGTAAGGGGTGGGAATGGAGTGTCCAAACGCAATGAAGACGCGAAGAATTTTTTGTGTGGTTCCCATAGGTGGTGCTATCGTACATCCACGTTGATGGAGACTTCAACCCATGAAGGGTAACGGTTGCACGAGTCCACGGAGGGCTCCACCCCACGAAGGATCCATGAAGAAGCAACCTTCTCTATCCCACCATGGCCATCGCCCACGAAGAACCTGCCTCACTCGGGTAGATCTTCATGAAGTAGGCAATCTCCTTGCCTTTACAAACTTCTTGGTTCAACTCCACATCTTGTCGTTGGCTCCCAAGTGACACCAAACCAATCTAGGAGACATCACTCTCCAAAAGGTAATAGACGGTGTGTTGATGATGAACTCATTGCTCTTGTGTTTCAACTGATAGTCTCCCCAACACTCAACTCTCTCACACAGATTTGACTATGGTGGTAGAAGGATTTGAGTGGAAAGCAACTTGGGGAAGGCTAGAAATCAAGGTTCAAATGGTAGGAATGGAATATCTTGATCTCAACACATGAGTAGGTGGTTCTCTCTTTGAAAATGTATGGTGAAAGTGTAGGCACGTTTTGATGGCTCTCTTACTTTGTAAAAGGGGGTGGAGGGGTATATATAGCCTCCACACAAAATCCAACCGTTACACATTTTTCACCCATCTCGGTGGCACCGATCTGTAAACTTGGTGGTTGTACAAAAATATGAACGTTAGGAATCTAGGTGGGACCGACGGAAACAACTCGGCGGGACCGATGTGCTAGGGCTTAGGGCAAACCTCAACTCGGTGACACTGATTGCATCATCTTGGTGAGACCAAAGTGAAGCAATAAGGCAACAGATAATTAGTCAAGCCAACTCGGTGGGGACCGATTGCAACATCTCGACGAGACCGAAGTGAATGCAACAAGTCACAAAGCATTGGCAAGGCCATCTCGGTGGGACCTAGATCCATATCGGTGGAACTGAATTGTTAGGGTTTTGGCAGTGGCTAAGTCTAGGTGAACTCGGTGGCTCCGGGTAGGAAATATCAGTGGGGCCGAGTTGGGAATTAGGGTTTGGACATATTTGGATAGAGAAAGTCGCTGAGGGTTTTGGATCAATATCACTAAGCACTTGAGAAATAAGACCATTAAGCGACACCTCATCCCCTTTTAATATCTTGGATCACTTAAACAAAGATGAAAAGTCCTGAGCTTTTGCCAATCCTGTCCTTAGCATTTTGAAGGGGTCCACAATCCTATTGTCCTTGCCACGCCACTGTTGAACTTATCTGAAATATACTAGATAAAAACTATTAGTCCAACAAAAGATATATTGACATTAATTACCAAAATCACCCAGGGAGCACTTGTGCTTTCAGAGCAAGTATTGCGTCCACCACAAGAAACTACTCAACCGATAGCCAAGTGGTGCGCAAATCTCTGAGCAAGTAAGTTGTTCTATGTGTTGGTCATTTTTATCGAATATGCAACTTGTTGGCCGGATATACTCTATGTGTTGGTCATTTGGCCGGATACGCACTTTGTTGGCAATGTCTTTGTTTGCTAGAATTTCCGTGTGTGCACACTGTATTTGAAGGTGTAGAAGAAGATCTTCGTCCTCATGCATTGTTGGTTGAAGTTGAATGCGCAACATTAGTGGCAGCTATCCATTGCCAATTCCATCAAGATCGCCGACATTGCCAATGAGGATAAATCGAGTGTCTAACTGACCAAACAAAAGAGCCGCATAAAAGGTTAGAAGGGGGTTCTGAAGAAAGAAGTGGGAGGATAAGGAGAAGCGAGAAGGGGAGACAACCAAGATGAAGGAGAAGCAAGAAGGTTCGAGGACATCTTGGCGAATGAGGAGTCATGTGTAAGCGCTATGATGTCAAGGAGGAAAATAAGGTTGAGATGTTTAACATCTTGATGACTACGGTTGAGAAGAATATTAACCTCAAAATGATATTTTTTGCATGGACTCAAACTTTTGTGGTCGGCGCATGCAAAAATTATGAACATCCACGTCTTTTTATCATGCTCAGGTTCCATTAACACTGTACTTTAATTTGCTCATAGCTATGTATTTGAAATGACGGAGGGCTGACCTGTACGGACGTTTACGGTTGGATGGCTGACTCTTATATATGTGTTCATGGACACGTCCGTGGATGAATAATGTGTCTGTTTAAGAGGTTAGCACCATCTCCAACGACGACCCTCAAACCGCTCGCATACGTCCGGGCCGTGCGGTCTAAATGTGTTGTGTCATCCAATGTGCTCCTGCATCGGTCCACGAGATGGTCCGGACGCACTTTCCCTAGCAAACCGGAGACAAAACGGGGGGGGGGGGTACTTTGCCTGCGTCCGGACAGCACCCACGCCCGCTTCTGATCGCCCTGGCCCACCCAAACCCCCTCCTCGCTCGCCCGCTCGTGTTCCCACCCAGCGCCAACTGCCCGTATTGATGCCAATGTGTAGCAGCCGCTTCACATTGAATCCGGTTGCAGAGCGGACGCGACCTCTCATTGCCTACACCATTGAAGCGGCACGCCGCCCGTGATGCGTTCTTGATGTCCGCGCCAATTCAATGCTGGAGATGCGTTACTGGACGAGACGAGACGGATATCTACCACGCCCGTTCAATGCCCTATCCGTCTGTATGCCATCATTAAGCAAGTCCGCTGGCCAAGAAACCCACTTCGGTGCCATGCATTGACGAACACGGACACCTGGCCTCACCGGAGTCCCCTATTTAAAGGCGGCCATACCCGGCTAACCCACACCACAACACAAGCCGCTCCACATCCTCCTCCCTTGTACCACATCCGCCATGACGGCAGGCGGTGAAGCTCTGTGAGAGAGCCTTTCCACGGAGATGAAGCAGGAGGTGGCCGCCCTTGCGACTGCCTGGCAGAACCGCCGTGCCATGAGGATTAAGGCCGGCTTGCCGTCCAACTCGTCCGAGGTCTCCGATGACGAGGACGATTCCACGGCGAAGACGGGCTCCGACGACACCGCACCGGAGCCCGCGCCTGTGCACGCCGGCTGGTGCAGGAGGAACAACGGTACAACCTGTTCTTCCTAGAGCGAGGAGGCCGTGGCGAACCCCAACTTCGTCGCGGAGCAGCGTGGGATCTACGAGGCCGTCCGCGCTCAAGCCGCTGCTCGCCAAGAAGCGGCCGCCGTGCCTCCAGGGGATCACGAAGGAGAACAACGCCGCCTCCTATGTTGTAGACAAACTATCAGGCGGCCCGGTGGGACGACGACAGCGCGAGCGCCACCATTTCCATCGTGGACCTGACGTCCATCAGTGACGGACAAGGCGGCGACTCCTCCGAGGATGAGTAGGGCACGGGAGGCAGCAAGACCTTGTGTCCCATGTAGGCCAGTCCGTCTCCCGTGTTCTATCTTTCTTGCCGGAGATCGCAGCTTCACTTCATCGGTCTTATCGCCGGTGCTCATGGAGACGCGCGGATGGAGGAGACAGTCCAAGGAAGGGAACAACAAGGGCTTTGACACCGGCAGCCGCTGGATTTATTTTTGTTTTAATTGTTTGGAATGTAACGAAAATCTGTTGTGTTCTAATCCCTTACATGAATGGCGTTTGGTTTATATGAAATCTGTCGTGTTTGCACGAACTTCGTCTAGTTGGTTTATAATTAAAATGTATGCGAGCAATATTGAATGACGTCCTCCCACATTCGTATCCGCAGACTGGTCCTCTATTCACGGCCGGATGGGGGATACAATTTGTGGATCGTCATTTGAGATGCCCTTAGTAGACAGTAACTGATAGCATGGCACACCACTGCGGTTCTGTCTTGGCTCCCGGACGTGAACACGAAGAGATACACGATTTTCTAGGTACATACCGTATTTAATTTTTTCTCAGGAAGGCACATACCAGATTTATGAACACGGACACACCACTCCTTATCTAACACACTCACGCCATCACTTGTCCGCATCGACCAAGCTATCACACAGGATCATGTCGCACTATGCGACGGCCCCAGCGGCATGGAGGGGAGAACAGAGGAGGTACCACTCGGATGATCGTGGGGGCCTTTGTTGCCACGTCTGGCCAAACACCTCTCCCATGAACAATAATCCCACACGCTACCTTGCCCACGGTACGTACAGACACAAGCAACACGTACGGTTCGGTTCAGCGGCAGATGGTAGGCGCCGGCGGCCAGAGACGAGAGAAGGTGGACGACACGGCGATGCCGGCCATGTTGAGGCCCTTGGCGCCGCCCCAGTCCGGCACCGGCACCCACCTCCACTCGCCGCGCGCGCGGTCGTACGACAGCCACACCAGGTCCCACGCGCCCCTGCAGTTGGAGATGAGCACCAGCCTCAAGACGCCCTCCCTCTCCGCCAGCAGCCCCGTCATCACGGCGTACGGCTTCCTGAACCCTTCGATCAGCTCGCCCGGCACCGTGGACACCAGCTGCCAGTCGCCTCCCACCTCCGGCCCGAGCCCGTACAGGTCCACGCCCGCCACCAACTTCACCCGAGTCCGGCTCGGTTCGTCGACCACCGTTGATCGGACCACCACGGCGCTGCCGTCGCCGTACACGTGGAGCCGATCGCCGTGGCCGCCGGCGTTCGGGTTGTGCGGGAACCGCGGGCGGAAGAAGACCGGTCTGTCCACGCCCGGTCCTGAGTACACCATCACGCAGTCCGGCCCGGCGTGGGCAGCGCACAGGTACGTGCCGTCCCCGTCGGGGCCTGCCGGTGCGGCGGGACCATTTGCCAGCACCGCCTCCGATGATTGCCACGCGTCGGTGTCAGACTGGTACTCGAAGAGAACGGGCGTGTTGTTCACCATCTCGGCGAAGAGAAACCTTGGGAGAGAAAAAAGAAAGAAAGAAAGATGAAACGTATCGTCATCGTCAAGGTTAGTGCTGCCTTTTACAAAGAAAATAAAAGAGGATTTCCAGAGTCCTCCGAAAGAAAAGGACGTGTACCTAAACTGGCTTGATCCGGGGGGATCGGCCACGAGCTTGAGGCCGAAGCGACGCCAGGACGAGGTGCCGCGGGGGCCGAGCGGGGACGGCGGGAGCCGGCGGGCGGACTGGGCCGAGAGGTCAACTACCACGAGCTCGCGGCGGCCGTTGGCGGCGAACAGGAAGGAGCTGCCGGAGGCGGCAAGGAAGTAGAGGTCCTCTCCCGGGGGCACGGCGGGGGAGATGATGTCCGCGACGGGGATGCGGAACCAGCGGCCGGACGGCCCGTGGAAGCCCCGTAGCGCGGCGCCGCGGGGCGGGAGCTTCTTGAACACGAGGAGCCACGCGGCGGCCGGGGCGGGGCCGGACGAGACGGAGGACAGGTGGTAGAAGCGGCGGAAGTCCGGGGAGGAGATGAGGTGGGACAGGGGACGGGCGACGGAGCGGACGCGGAGCAGCTCCGGGAGCGCGAGGCGGATGAGGATCTCGTGGAGGAGCTCCGACGGCAGGAGCAGCAGGGTTCCGAGGGCCGTGGTGGCGGTGCTCGCCGGGGAGGAGTGGTGCTCGCCGGCGAGGTGGTGGTCGGACATGGGAGGGGTTTGTTGAGGTTTAATTTCTTGGGGATGGGGATGGATTGTTGGTTTGGGAGACAAGTTTGCCGGGTCTTGCTCTTTATACAGGGCCGGCGAGACGGTTTTTCGGTTGTTTGACCTGGTGCGATAAATCTCTAGTTCATCGGGTTTTGGATTTCTTTCTTGTGGACGAGGATGAAAGAGAGATGTTTTGTAGGGCTCGGCTCACTTTATTTTACATGAAAAAAGGAATTATTTTGTGTTCTCTGCTCTCCGGGCGGTGCGTGATCCCACTAAAATGGTTCGTGTCCAATGTGATGCATGCCTCGTTAGTGAGTCTATGCAGTGAAATGCAAAAGACCACCACAATGTCATTAGCAGCAAACCATCACATTACATTTCGTCATAAAAATCACCGCACCGGAAAATTGACATGGGCAAAAAAACACTGACGATAAATGTTAATTGATTTGATTATTCATTAGTTGCTTCGGGCCTACTCACGGGGACGCATTACTTCACTAACTGCTCCGGCCCGATCGCCGGAATGCCTTAGAAAAGCCCCGCTCGGGCCGCGCCCATCACCGGCGCCAAGGCCAGGCTCGCTGCGTCCAAGGATCACCACGGGCGACATCGCCGCAACGGCTCCAAGTCGTGGTCTGTGGGCGTTTGGCATCATCGTGGGAGCAACTGAAGAGCCTGTTGAGTTGCCGGAGCGTGACGGCGACCGCGCACGTGCATGACCTCAATACCTCTGTCACACCTTGTAAGCCATGATGGACAATTGCACGTCGCCGTAGGCGAGGAAGAAGTGCAACACCGCGCTGCTGCCCTCGACGTCCTTCTATTCGAGTGCTGGGGCAGGCGTTGTTGTTGCACGGTTGGAGCGAGGGCCTTGTCACCAACCACCTCCAGGGCATCGATGGTGTCCGCGGTCCCGGCAGCGACAGAGCTTGCTAGGGGAGAAGGGTGAGGGTGCAAGAGGTGCCTGGTGCATCGGGCTGCTCGGCAAGGACACTTCCCAATGCTGGCCCCCTCCTCCCAGCTCCTCCTCCCTCTACTCTCTTTCTCTCCCCTCACCCTATCTCTCTTTCCCTTGCTACGGATCTCGCCCGCTGCTGCCCCTCTATGCAAGTGCGTCGCCAAGTCGTCGTCGACTACTCCATCCCTGCCGTCGTAGGAGACCGTGATGCAAAGCATCCCACGGTCATCCCCATGGACCCACCTTCGCCTCCCCAAGTGCCAAGTGGACCGATGACACGAGCACATACAAAAGCTCTCGAGGCCGAGGTGATACCTTTCCTCTCGCAACTCCCTTTCGAATCACATGAGACATGCTACTATCTCAAACAGAGACACTTTGCATACTCAGGTGCAAGGAACCAGCCATGGATAAGCTGAGGAGCAAGGCCGAACGACGGATGGAGAAGAACGCAAAGACGGAGAAGAAATAGAGAAAGACAAGACTTGCCAGGATGATTTGGACCAAGCCCGGACAATCTGCACCTCCTTCCGGACGATCTGAGTAATGTGCCCGAAGACCACAGCACGCCTCCAAACGAAGCCGGATCATCTAGACCTACTCCCGGATCATCCAGACCCACCCGGACATCTGGACGGTGACCCGGATATCTGGACACAACGGCGGCTGCGATGACACAGCCGGTCGATCCGGACGGCCGTCTGGATCATCCGGAGCATGCCTGCGTGCATGACTTGGGCCGAGGCCCATGTACCTCTACCTACCCCTAGACTATATATACTCCTCCGTACACGTTTTAGGGTTAGCAAAGGATTAACACAAGATAGAGATAGAGCTTTGCTCATACACTTACCTCTCCCATGGAGATCAATGCCTCCATGTGTGAGAACATCCCCCATGTGGATTCAAGACCCCTTCATGGGAAGATCCTCTTATGATTCAAGACCTCTCTCCTTTAAGGATTGGGATGAACTAGCTACCCTTTGTACCCTCTTGTGTTGGATTTGGATCCTTGTATCTCCTCTTTGTGTGTATGGATTTAGCACATGTGTGATTTGGATCTTGTTGATCGAGTGTTTTCCCTCTCTTGTTCTTCGTGTTCTTCGCGGGATCCCCTCCAATTCATGAAAGATCGGCCATTAGGATTCCACCCTACATCATCTTGGTATGACGAGTCACACTGATCACGAATTTGGAGTCCCTACTGCCCACGTTCTAGCCTAATTTTGTGTTTTTTTTTCATTTTTGAAAATCCCCACAAAATAGCCATACCATTTTTTGGTGATTTGTTGGTTTGATGATGTTTTGTTGATTTTGATACATGGATTCGTTGTGTTGCAAGTGGATCTGGCATTCCCCACCATCTCCACCACGAAATCCACCCCGAAATCACCCCAATTTTTCTTCTTATCCGTGATTTGGAGTTCTTCCCGACCCCATAGCCACGCAGAAGACTTGCCAGGATCATCCGGCCGCACACCCGGATCATCTGGACATAGCCCGGATCAGCCGGGCCCCGACCCGGATCATCCGTCTTCCACCGTCAAATTTTTGCTCGGAAGTTTCAGCCACCGCCCCACTTTCACATTGTCAACTCCGAGCCCCCCCCATAGCAATTTGTAGGTACCGAGAGTATATCGACCAGAGGGGGGTGAATGGGAGATTCAAAAATTCTTTTGAATGTTTTGCATCTAGCCCAGACACAGCAGTGGACTAAACTGAAGTGAAATGAAACATACACATGTATCCTATTAAGGAACAAAATCTTTGAGATAAGAAGTAATGATAGCTCAAGCATAGTAGATAGCAGGTTTGACTATCACGATGGTAAAGCAGTACACAAGCAATTGCAAAAGCATGAATGAAAACTACATGCTATCAGTGAGGTAAATTCAGTCAGATTAGATAGCACTAGAGTACTACATGAAATACAAGGGAGATGTGCTGCAGATTACACATAAAGGATAAAAGATCAAATCATTGAAAATATATGTCATCGCTGAGCACAAAAGATTATTCCTGAACGGAATAAAAGGTGAATAGAAAGAACCAATGGTGCTCGAGTGCGACAAGCGTATTTGGTAGACCAGTTCGTCCTTCTACCAAAGGGTTATGTCTAGTTGGAGGGACTTGTGATTGAACACAGGAGAAAACCTCTGTCTGTCCTATTCTCCTTAAACTAGGAGCTGATCAGATTCCAGTTAATTTCACTCATGGTAGATGCTTATCGGCGATCTCCAAACCTTCGACACAGCTCCTTCCTAAACCACAGTTACTCTTGGTTGCTGAAAATCTTGCTCAGTGAAGACAACAACTCTTCAATACTCGAGCCGACACCTATCCATCTAGAGAGTGCGCGACTCTCAAGAGTAGTAGGTACAAGAACTCTAACTCAGAGCTACTGTGATGCTCAACTACTGTTTAAGTTTTGTTCTTGGTTTTCTCCCGGTGGATTTTAAACTCAAATCACTCAGAGAGGGGATGCTCAATCAATCTTCTTAGAAATCTCAAGTGGAGCAGCCAATGTATAACGTTGGAGTGGGGTGGCCATTTATAGCCACAACCTTCCCTAAGGGGAAATGACCAAAATGGACATGTGCGTCAACCAATGGCCGAATGACACGAGTCCAACGGTTTGAAATTGAGCACAACGGTAACATTCCTTGCGAAGAAAGAAATGCTAACTCCTCAGTCTGATATATCTCCTGCAACACCGAAGAACTACGTCTTCTATTGACAGGCAATCATTTGGAGCATAAAGAGATTTCTTGGCCTAAACATCATAGCGGATCTAAGCATCAAGAACCTATAACCCTCTTAATACATTGGTATAGTAACATGCTATACAAACGGTTTTTAACCCCTTTCCGCGACGGAGTTTTAAAGCGTCGCCTAGTGAGTGTGGGCGTTAGGGGGGGGGGGGTCCTTCCCACACTACCCAGAAACCGACGGGGATAGGTGAGCGGTTACTGACGATCGCCATAGAATAAACATATGAGAAGTCATGCCAGTCCCACACGTTACGTCTTGACGTTACGTTTTTGATCCGAGAGACAACAAAAATGATTACCCCACTATAGTCGCGTGGAAAGGTGGATATCACAAACATTTAATCTAACGGTGTGTGCATCTGTCGGGCATCACAAACATTTAATCTAGGTACATTATCGCACATAGTTCAAAAATGTAAAATGTGTGCGGTGCCTCTACTATCGCCAACGTGTCTGAGGGAGTCCTGGATTAGGGGGTGTTCGGATGGCCGGACTATGACCTTTGGCCGGACTCCCGGACTATGAAGATACAAGATTGAAGACTTCGTCCCGTGTCCGGATAGGACTTTCCTTGGCGTGGAAGGCAAGCTTGGCGATTCGATATGAAGATCTCCTCCCATTGTAACCGACTCTGTGTAACCCTAGCCCTCTCCAGTGTCTATATAAACCGGGGAGTTTTGGTCCGTAGGACGAACAACAATCATACCATAGGCTAGCTTCTAGGGTTTAGCCTCTCTGATCTCGTGGTAGATCAACTCTTGTACTACCCATATCATCAATATTAATCAAGCAAGAGTAGGGTTTTACCTCCATCGAGAGGGCCCGAACCTGGGTAAAAACATCGTGTCCCTTGTCTCTTGTTACCATCCGCCTAGATGCACAGTTCGGGACCCCCTACCCGAGATCCGCCGGTTTTGACACCGACATTGGTGCTTATATTGAGAGTTCCTCTGTGTCGTCACCTTTCGGCCCGATGGCTCCTTCGATCATCAACCACGACGAGGTCCAGGGTGAGACCTTTCTCCTCGGACAGATCTTCGTGTTTGGCGGCTTCGCACTGCTGGCCAATTCGCTTGGCCATCTGGAGCAGATCGAAAGCTACGCCCCTGGCCATCATGTCAGATTTGGAAGCTTAAACTACACGGCCGACATCCGCGGGAACTCGATCTTCGACGGATTCGAGCCACGGCCGAGCGTGCCGCACTGTCACGACGGACATGATCTAGCTCTGCCGCCGGACAGCGCTCAAAGCGCCGCTTAGGTGT